TCTTGGGAAGAGGAAATTGAAAACAAAAAGTTAAAACCACTAACTGGCCATTTTCAATTTTTAGTTTTTGATGTTCAAAATATTGAAGAATGATGTTTAATTTTACCTTTCTTAGCAACAAACATTGAAAATTGAGATTGTAAATTTTTTATTTTCAATTTTTGAGGAATCAAACATTGAAAATCACGATTGTGAAGTTTTGATTTTCAATTTTCAACATTGAATGAAGATCAAATGGACGAAAACCACATGGACCTTAAATGACCGGCAGTCCTATATTCTCAAAAAATTTGACAAATCGAAAAAATCCATCTAATCTAAACTATCATATGTCGATTAAGAAAAGTCAAGCGATCCTGAAATGCTTTGCTTTTTAGATCTCAAGTTTAGTGTTTGGTTTTCGCTGGGCTCAGAAAACGAAACCATGTTTTCGAACACTTTGAACTTCCTCTTTCCTCTTTCCTCTGTCCTCTTACCCTAGGTACCAGAGGTTTTTTCACGCGTGCGAAGGGGAGCTTCGTTTCGTCGGCCACAGGCCGACACGTTTTCGGCCGAAGACCGAAGACAGGAGCGGCGAAGACTTTTTAAGACTTGACCGAAACCGGAAACCGCCCATGAAAAGCTTCTGGTACCCAGGGTACTTTCCTCTTTATATAGAGAGAAAACCGTTCACAGTAAAACTCATAAAACGGCCACGTTCTATTAGGGAACAAAGTAATTTTACAAATCTTGTAATCCAGGTAGTCTGTTCGTTATACTTCTATTTTGACGAGCTGTCAATTTACAAATGAACCGAACCGTGAAATGTCAAGGGGAGTTTTCCAGAATCGTGGGGTTTGAGGGCAAGCGTTTTCTCTTCTCCCCTCCCCCTACCCCTTACACCTTTTTTTTTTTGCTTCCGCTCTAACTTTCGTGCAATAACTCGATTGGAGTTATTGCACTAGTTCACTTTTTCTGCATTTGCATTCGCCTTATCACGGAGTATGCATGTCCTGTCTTTCACGACAGTCCTCCCGCGTATCTCTCCAATGAACTTGAGGGAGTACAAAAGCGGGCTATTCGCATTATTTTCCCTTTCTGCCCGTACAATGAGTCTTTAGTTGAGCCAAGCCTGATTAAACTTTCAGACCGCCAGCAGGAACTTGTAGGCAAAATATTTAAGGAAGTTGTACAGAACAACGAGAATAAGCTCCACGGCCTTCTCTCTCACACATTCTAGTCGAACCTAAGAAACACACCGAAATTTTTTTACTTCCAACGCCCTAAAAGCTTAAACTATGTTCCTGATCTATAGTTGTAGAAGTTTCGATTGCTTTTTTCATGTCGATTTCGTTTTTTATTTCGTATTTTTTAACAAATCCAGGAGCCTATCACAAGCCTGCAAATCACAATTATACTGTAATGTATTCATGTATTGTTTTTGTTATTCGTTTCTTTCATTTTTCCTTATAGATAGCTTAGTAGTGGATAACACGCATAATCGTGGAGCGTTCCAAATTTTGGTAAAAAATAATCAGCCTTGCTTCTTTTGTTTTATATTAGTGTTAGTATTTTTAAGTAATCATAATTATTTGTAAATAATCGCCTAATTCAATCTGTCGGCTGCAAGATGATTTTAAATAAACTATCTACCGTATTTATTCGATTAACCGCCCTGGGCGCTTATCAAATTTTTGGACCTTGAGAGTGGGCGTTCATTCGAGGTGTGCGCTTATTCGAGGCTGGGCGCTTATTAAATTTTCACCATTTTCAGCAAGTGAAGTAAGTTTACTTTGCAACAAAACAATAAATGCTAATAACAAAACGCGAAGAAGTAACAAAGCAAGGTTTCTGTAAAATACTCTGAAGAACACTCCATCCTCAGGGAAGTCTCTTATTAGAATTTATTAACTCAAGTAGGTGGGGTGGGGGTACCACCGCGGTCAAACGTCTAAATCGTTATTTTTGTTTTTTATTGCTGGGATTTCATTTACCAGTTAGAGAAAAATGGGCAAAGATGTATAAATCTGTTAGTCAACATAACTATCTTTCCATTTTTCTCAAAATTTTGAGCTTTTTTCGCTGAAAACGCTTCGCGCTAGAAGAGAATCATGTTTGAAAATGGCGCCGATAATAACGTCAGCATCAGTTTTCAATCACTTAGAACTTTTTTAGTAAACTTTTAAAAAGTTTAGTAAACTAACAGGATGTTGGTAATACCCTAAACTTTCGATAGTGAGAGTAGCAACCTTAACTTTGAAGTATTTCGCTTAACTTTTGCAAATTTCACTCGTTTGACCGCTGTGAAGGTGGGGGTGAGGGCTTATTTGAGTTTGATTGGGTGGAGGAGGGGGTGGTGCTTATTCAAGGCCGAGCGCTTATTAACTTTTTCTGCCTTTAGGATGGGAGCTTATTCGAGGTGGGCGCTAATTCGAGGTTGGGCGCTTATTCGAATAAATACGGTATCTATCTATCTATCTATCTGGAAACGCTTACAACGACAGACTAAGAGCCGGACGGCAAACCAACGCTACAAATTCCAAGGAATACCCCCTGGGGAGAAAAGCTAACGATTTTATAGTTAATGAGGCGTATCGTGACGGTGGCTTATAGCATAGGATCATTTTCCTTTATAGCAGACAGACGGATGTGTTTATAGACTTGCTACAAGTCGACCTCACAAACATGGCACTGATCTGGATAGCGATGGCTGGGTTATTGCAAATAGTCGCAGGTTAGTTATGAAAGGAAATACTTAGGAAAACAAGCTTGTGTAAATTATTTCGCTACCCTGGCATTCATGCTAGGTGTGGACCAGTAGGAATACTTGGAGCGTTAAACCATTGCGGGTTACACTATCGATTTATTCACGCGGTTCTCGTTTCTTTCGAACGAATAGGCCACAATGACCTACCGAAGCTTCACCTTTCAAAACAAAACGTTCTTCGTTTATAAAGAAATTAAAATGAACAGAATGAAAAACCTCAAAGAAATGGAGAAAGGAAAATACAGCCCGATAGACTTCATTATTTGGATGAATACACCCTTTGAAGCATAATATGCGATGGAGAAGATTCCGGCCCTTGTAAAAATGGCCGGTAGTGCAAAAACTTAATTTAGAAAGCGATCACGACTTTTCGGTTCCTTCTGTGGGTACCGAGGCACCGATTACGAACAACAAAAGAAACAATACAACCAAACAATTAAGCCCCCGGGAGAAATCTATTGTTCGGTTCCTTTGATTCTTTTCTGATGACGGTACCTGCAGAAAGACCCGACTTTTCTGTTTCCTAGGCTAATAGCTTCTCCTAATTTCAGCTGCGATAACGAGCAATAGCTACAAACAGATCCTGTTTTGATTCTGACACTGACTTGTCACTTTCAATGATTCACACCAATATCAATGCAATGTTTGTAAATTTCTCAGTTGCTACGATGACTTCTAATGTCATATGCTGGCCTTTCTGATTTAGGAGAGGGACATTGGGGGGTACCCAATACCGCAATACCGTAAGAAAAATTGGAAAACACCGAAATACCGTGTCCAAAATCGACCAAATACCGATACCGAATTTTATGATGGGTCACGTTTCACTGAAAGCTGTATCTATCTCGCGAGTTTGCCACCTCAAGCATGTATCAACCTTAGACATTTGGAGTAAACATGAGAAGATCTTGAATTGATCGGTAGAACGATTGAAAAGCCCGATCATTACCATTAAGTCTAAAGTCTAACTTTTATTAACCTGTTTAGCTTACTGTGGTTCGTGCTGAATATTGTATTTACCTGTATTAGACAGGAGAGTGCAAATAAATGGTACCGCAATACCGTGAAGGATCGATCTTCTTTTACCGAATACCGCAAAAAGGATGAAAAACCGGATACCGTAGGGCTAGATGATACCGCAGTACCGCACATTAAAATCAACATTACCGAAATAACGCTTGAAAAAATGCTCAATACCGTTATATCAAGACGTTTGCTTCTTAAGTCCCCGGGCCTTAGTAACGCAAGGAAATTCGGGGGGAGCATCCTCTCATAGGCCATTATAGGGAGTAGCACCCCCTCCCCCCCCCCCCCCCCCC